CAGGAGGTGTGGCAGGGGTGGCATGCCAGCTGCTGCCACCAGACTGGGATGGAATGGGAGGGTAACAGCAAGGATCTGGCTTCGTCAGCTGCTGTACAGGCCTACTGCAATTTACATGGGAATTGTATGAACTTATGTAGTCCATTTATAGAAATGCTGATTAAGTTTGGGAGCAACCACTTTGAACTACCTGCCAAGAGCAAAAACTATTCCTTTGTGCACTGTCAGGCTTAAAGAACTCAATCTGGAACTATTTTACCAATCTTTCAGATGTTTGAGTTTAACACAGAGATTAGAGAGGGTAAAGTTAGGGCAGAGCTGACCCCAACTGCCAAACTTTTGAAGATGGGAACTGTGAGTTAGCTTTGATCCAACACACATTTGAAATACATATTCACTTATGTCTAACACCAGCTGGGTATAGCTAAAAAAGGAGCTGGTGCGTACCTCATTTACCATACATTGATCTCAATGTAAAAATAGCAAAGTACTGTTTAAATTGTGCTTGCTGATCGTGCTCCCTCACCCCTCTCCCACCCCCCCACCCTGGCCCTTCACAGTAGGGAGCATGGCTCATCGTAGTCCCTTCACTCCTCCCCCACAAGCAAAGTGAGATGCTTCAGAGCCTAGATATCTTGCTTGCACTTGGATTCCCCCTTACTTCCAAAGAATACTTCTACAGAAAATTGTGATAAACAGGAAAAAATACATTTAAGAATTATGTAACAATTTGTGTTTAATAAGAGAACTGGACAATTAGCACGTGGAAATTCCCTCTCTTGACATTTACAAGGTGAAAGGTGGAAGCATGGGGAGTTACGGCAGCAGAGGACAGGGCGTACCAAATGTCATTGTGCTGGCTAAGGATTTATGTAATTAGATACATCTGGAGGAAAGGACTAACTCAACGTCATGATACAGCCTGAATCAACTTTGCTTAGTTAAACTGCAAGGGTATCTCCCAAACTACCATGTTTGCAGTACAAACAGAGACTGACTCATCAAGGCAAATACGCACCAGGTACAGTCTTAACAGGAGCACAATGCAAAAAAAACCAAAAACCAAACCACCTGGAAAAAGACAAGATCGAATGATTTTAGACTTTATGGGAGTTTGTTTCTATCATCTGGATTTTACAGATATATATTATATACAGCAAAATTAATTCCCATTCTATATCATCTTTTAATTAGTAGTCAACTTTAATGTCTGATTTAAAATGCTGCAGTAAGGAAGCAAAGGGTTGAAAACAGGTTCTGGCTGATGTCCAGTGTTGCAGTTTTACAGTCACTCTGTGTGCAGTGCCTTCAAATCAGATGATCTCACCATTCCCTAGCCCTCAAAAAAATCTTTGTTCCCACCCTCATGCTACCTCCTCTTTTTGTCAGTAATTGATGCAGCCACATGGTGATTTGTACCAGGAAACAGACCTAGTATAAAATCAACCTGGGGAAAAAGGGGATTGTAATTACAAATCGACAGTGTCATGTGAAACAGCCACAGAATATTCCTGTAAATCTGCCAAGTCAATAATATTCATGATGATCTGCTAAATAAGTTCTGGCTGTGAGGACTGAAGTTGCCTGGGGCTACTGGAAGTCACATAGCTAGTTTTCCAGAATGTTAGAACTCTTTGGGAATTAAAAGAGTAAAAATCATTCCTTTTTTTCCTTCTTTTCGCATCCCTCGAGGTATTTGGGCCTTGCCCACATAACCCAGTACCTTCCCAAGATGCCTAAGGAATGCCTAAATAGAATTACAAATGTTAGGATGTTTGAAAAAAGAAAGGAACATTTTATCAATGTTTTCTTATTTTAATCATATGACCAAGAGTTAGCTAGAGCTGGTTTTCAGCAAAACACAATTCTCAAAGCTAAACCACAAAGTGGAACCGCGTTCTTTGCTAAATTTAAATAAAGACCAGAATGCATTTAAATTACCATATTATTGCCACATAAATCTTAGGCCTTCTCCTGTGTTTAACAATGCCCCTTATTTTGCTATTCTCTCTAAATCACACAAGGGACATGGTCCAAAAAACCCTAACAATTTGCACATAGTAACAGTCACAGTGTGTTATAAATGGAGAGCAACAATCTCATTTTCTCTTTCATCCTCCACTGAATACTAACTATACATTGGAACAGAAAAGTTTATAAAACAATATTCTGACTGGGTCTAACAGCTGCAGTAATGAACCCTTGAAAAGAGCACAGACTGATTCCCACCTGGAGACTTAAAATAATTCAGCTTTTTGACAAGTAAAACGTGGGCTGGGCAGCTTTTAACACAGGTCCTTGGAAAAACTGGTCCTCTATTATCTCTTAAGTCGAACAGAAGAGGTCACTAAAGAGTCACAGTATGCCCCTCTTCTTCAAAATAGGCAAGTCATGCTGTCCTAGCCAGCCAGCTTGACTTCAGCAGCCTTCACTCTTAGCTTTTTCCACCCTTCGTGCTCTGCCTCCAACTTCTCTTGCATTTATTTCTTCTCTCCATCCTCTCAGTTCTGCGCTAGGTTTCCCTATGTATATTGAAGAGTTTAGTAAGGCAGGCTGCGAATGCCCCAGACCTGCCACTCCACATCTTCTGTTCAGCTGCCTCAGGCATGAGGATAGCAGCCTCCAAAGAGGATGTTTTGTGGCAGTCAGCCCTCAAAGGACATCAGACTACAGCGTTCAGAGAGGTCAGCATTTGCAGATGGAGGACTACTTGGCAGCAACACCAGTAAGCAGGAAAGCACCACATGCAGAGATTCCTGCGGCCTTCCCTTCCCTCATCTGCAAGAAAAGTTTGGAGGCAGAAGAAAGGATTGCTCTGCTTTGTGGGTCTGGCAGGGGTTTTTTTCTTTCTGTTTTTAGCAGTCTTGGAAAAAAGAGTAAGAAAACGAGAATACATGCTTCTTGTCAGAAATATCCAAAATAAGAACAAAGACACAGTCCTTTCCTGACATGTTACAACACAGGAGTTCAAAGTCATGAAGAAATAAAACAGGCTTTGCTAGCATCCATCACTATCTTGCATTTAAACAATGTTTCCAGTTGGAAAAAATGGTAAACTCAACAGTTAATACTGTAATTGTGTATAAAGACATCTATCATAAAAAATAATTTAAAATTATCCCAATGAATAAAGGGGTTCAATACACAAAAAAGTCTTTAGTAGTTCATGAGTCTTGAAGAGTATTTCTTTTGGACAGTGAAGGAGCTATTTTGCTGCCTAGAATGCAAATACACACTTCCCATGCCAAAAAAGGTAGTATCCAGCCAGTGAATATCTACAGGTATAAGGCATGAGTAATGGGCACGTCCATCCTATCTCATGTAATGACTCCACACTCTCAAAAACAGGATTCAGATGACAGAAGCAGCAAAAGACTAGCTGGTGGCAGTTCCAATGATTAATGTTTTTTGTGCATGGCAAAATGCAATAATAATGAACAGCAACATAGCTCATAGAACAAATAAATTTTAGCTAAGAGAATCTTCTTCTGGAGGTAAGATGCTGTGAGCTCAAGTTACTGTTCTGTTGTGCAGGAAGAAAAGGCAGATCTTCGTAAAAATCCTCCTAATCTGTAAATATCTGGGATTCAAGAGAGATCTGACCTATACTTATATGGAACAACCTAAACGGAAAGTTGATGCCTCCATACAGTCCTTCTGGGGCTCCCTGGCATCATGGATCCCAAAGTCCTTCCAACACAGCAGAGGCTAAGGAGGAACTCAAAGACAGTTTATGCTGCTTAGCATGCCAGTACCTCCTAGTAAGACTTCTGACCAGAAATCAGCAGTATTTACCCATCAAAACCAGGCTGGCTCTTTGCTCCACTGCCTCCAGCTCTTACAGACCACTCAGGATCCTGCTCAGAGCTCCCACACTGGAATAGGCACGCACCAAGCAAGGACATTCATTTATCTTCCCCCTCTTTGGCAGCATAGATCTGTCTTTCCAGATCTTAAAACACTGTGTCACTACATGCTGCTTGGGATTCTTCTCAGATAATCAACACTTCCTCTCTGATCCCATCCAAAAAACTTGTAAACTTCCTTTTCCACTTTCACGGTAAGGAAAGTACCCTCTTTGTGAGCCAGCATCTCATGAAACTTCACTGCCGCTCTCAAACAAACATCTTTCAGCAAGTTTATCCAACCTCCCTAGCTCAGGTGCTTTTATCTACATATATGAAAGCATATCCTGCTTCTTAAGAATAGTTTTAAAGTAGTTCTTAGAACAAAACCATATTTTTTCTAATTCCTAGAAGTAAATTACTTCCTTTATTACCAAGCTCATTTATAACAGTTTTAATTTCAAGGGTGTGAAAATTTAAATTCTAGCTCTGGAATAATGTGAGCAACTACTTCGATACTTCCAATTTAAAGTAAATATTTGATTGACAAAAAAAACACCTTAAGCCATTTCTTAGTGAAATGTTAAAAGGGAGTACTAAGAATTCTCAAAAATAGGTATTGGTAAAAAAGCAGGATTATTCTTCTACAAATCACCAACTGGAAAGAACTGAAGCCAGTTTGAGCTGCCTTTGTAAGAACAGGACTCAAATGCTTAAGGAAGTGAAATAAAGTTTAAACTTGCACAGGATGTGGTTTGAACTAAGGGGTTATTTTAAGAAGAACTCTTAACAACATAACTATACAGTAGATTTACTCTGTTCCCCAAAATCCCTATTACTATGAAAACATACACACTCACACAGTGTATGTCCTAATAAAGTTATTATCAATACATTAGCTGAAACTATGAGCATTGCATACATGAGGAAATTTAGCTGTGATTTTTTATGGCTAATACAGTCAAACATATAAGGCGAACCATCTTCCCACTAATCATTTTTAATTTGTGAAGTCTAGATAACTCTTTGAACTTCAATGTAATGTGCTACAAAAATGTTTGATCAGTTTCCCAAGAGGAGAAGTAATAATGAGGCACTCATTGTTTTACAATCAGCATACACAAGACTCTTAATGAATATTTAACCAGCACTTACGTTTTCACACTGCATCTTTCTGGTTTTTATGTGGGAAACATTGAGTCCATCAATAACAACATCAAATGGAAGTCGATTTTCCACAAATGTTTGAAAGGCTTCAAATTCCTGAAATAAATAAATAAACAAACAAACACAGGGGAATAACATATTGAGTGTAACAGAAAAAGATTTCATTCACTTTTTATTAAAAAAAGAAACAAAGCCTAAACCTCTCACTTTTCCTTCATTGGCTACTTTTCCTTCATTGGCTACTTTTCCTTCATTGGCTACACTTCACATCTTTACTTGCATATTTGCTAAAACAAGCACACAAAAAAACACCAAAGAAACAAATCTTTAAAAGCCGTTAAGTGTTACAGTGGTGTCCTGGTTTCAGCTGGGACAGAGTTAATTTTCTTCCTAGTAGCTGGTCCAGTGCTGTCTTTGGGATTTAGCATGAGAACACTGCTGATAGCACACTGATGTTTTAGTTGTTGCGAAGTAGCGCTTACCCTAGGTTCAGGATTTTTCAGTTTCCCCTGCTCTGCCAGTGAGGAGGTGCACAAGAAGCTGGGAGGGAGCATGGCCAGGACAGCTGACCTGAACTAGCCACGGATATTCCATACCATCGGACATCATGCCCAGTATATAAACTGGGGGCAGTTGGCCGGAGGGGTGGATCGCTGCTCAGGCATTGGTCAGCAGGTGTTGAGCAACTGCGTCGTGCATCACTTGTCTTCTCTTGAGTTTTACTTATCTCTCTTTTTGTCATATTCCTTCTCATTATTATTATTAATAATAATAATTAAATTTTATTTAACTTCAGTTATTAAACTGTTCTTATCTCAACCCACAAGTTTTACTTCTTTTTTCTCCTCCCCATCCCTCTGTGGGGAGGAGGAGCGAGCGAGTGGCTACGTGGTGCTTAGTTGCTGGCTGGGGTTAAACCATGACAAGTGGATACTTCCAATATAATTTTAAACTACATTACAACTGAAAACCAAAACTTCACAGTCATCCAGATCTTCAAAATTATAATCTGAACTGTACACTTTTGTAAAGACACATGCTATAGTCATTGTTACACAACAGCTGTAAAACAAACCAGTAGACTGTGACACTAACGATTAACATTTCCAAGCGTAAAATAAGCATCATACTCAGTTTCTCTGTACGAATACTGAGATGTCTGAACACCAGTCAATATTTAAATAAACATTCATTTAGAAACACAGCACTCCATTTGTGAGAAATACACAGCTTTAAGGCTAGCAAAACAAGGAACTTTCTTACTAGGTCAGAAACATAATGCAGTGATTGAGCAAACCAACGGCATCCATCCAGTTTTTCCAATGGAAGGAAAACCACAACTGCTTTAGGCTTGAGACCCCACAGGAGGAAAACAGAAACTTTAATAAAGTACAAAGCTTTAATAAAATCTTCAGGAATTTCTCCCTGATTTTTGAGGAAAGATTTAGTGGTTTTAGCAGACACTTGCATAAAATTTCTACGTCCTGCTTCTGACTGTTTTTAATAGGCACAGGAACCCTAAGCCATCCTGGTAGGCAGTGACCTGGTTTCATAAATGACCTTTCTAGTAACAAGTAAGACTTATTTATCATTAACAGAGGTTTCACAGTCCAAGGTTTCACAGTCCAAGGCTATAAATGAACTTTCACAGGAACTCAAAACAATTGCAAATTTCATGCCTTCTGCTCAAAATTCAAGAAGCACTTTTCTAATTTTCTCCCACATAGCCACATGGTAACAATAAGTTTAAATAAAAACCATCCCCTCATCAACCAGACAAAAACCTATACAGCATATACAATTCCTCCTCAGAGAAAGGAATGAAGGAAAGAATCTTTATCCAGAAAATGCATTGCTGTCAGGCAGTAACAAATGATCACCAATTTCAAATTTAGTCAGAACATTTATGACAAATTACACTAGGAGCAGGGTTACTTGTGTCAAGAATACAAACCAACCAAGTGAGATAAGGATGCCTCACTCACAAGGCATCCTTCCAAGTGAACAGAAGCGTACTGGTCAAAAGCACACTGACAAGAACACAGACAATGCAGGGCTCAGTCTAGCACCACCAGAATCAATTGTCTTTTATGTGATCTTTCATTTCTCCACGGCTTAAATAAATATTATTATTGAGAAAGTATGAAAAGCTGGGCAAGAAAACGATCATCTCAAACAAAAATAAATTGTTGGCACTTATGAAGTGTTTCCCCCTGCCCCCCAGCCCCAATCTCAATGTATTTTATATAGACAAATAAATATTCTCATCGCCATCTGACAAGGCCACCAAGATACACAAAGGAAGTTACTAGCAAAGGTGGTGGCAGAGAAGCGGAGGAGAAACAAATACAAAACCAATAAGGATTCCTGACTTCCAGACTTATGCCATCCAGCAGACTTCCCCACGGTTCAAAACCAGATGAGTCATCACTGTAATACTGGATGACTGTCTGAAATGTGGGAAAGATAAAAAGAAGAAAAACACATGCAGACCAAATGAAGGTAAAATAGGAGACCTTTGAGACAAAGATGAGTGAAAATTGAAAAGACACAAGAAAGTGGAAGCAGAAGAAAAAGGCACAGTAAACACTCTAATAGAGCATTCTTTTCCTAATGCCAACAAATATTTGAAGTAACATGGTTACAGTTTATAAAGTTTAGCATACAGGTAATCTTGTCTTTAAGAGCTCAGTTCAACACAAAACACTTTGTGGAGATTTTTTAAAGTGGTATTTTATTTCAAGTGACAACAGTTATAGAACAGTTCCTGAAGGGGTGGGTTCTCCCTGATGGGCAGAGTGCTTTGTCAAGGCCACACTACAGCACGAGCTAGGGGAGCAGCAGAGGAGTTCAGTGGGTCAGCGCTCCCCTCTGCCCATGCCTTGCTTGGCTCCTTCTCCTTTCCCAGCAGGGCAGACGGAGAAGGAGGGTCCTGCTGAGAGGCACCAGGATAGGCTAAGCACCTCTCAGAAACCAGCTCCTGACTCTCTGGGGTTTACTTTTGGAGCTGGGAAGGTGCTGCAGCCTTTTCAGTGTCATTCCCTTGGCCGCCCCACCTTTGCCTGCCATCTCCTTCTGTCCATGTCTCCTACTCCATTTTCAACAGATGCCTGACAGTTTGCCCCTGCCTGCCTCCCAGATCTGCTCAATTGTTTTGCCTCACTATCAGTAAACTGTGCGATACACGTTGAGAATCACAGAATCACAGAATGTTAGGGGTTGGAAGGGACCTCGAAAGATCATCTAGTCCAACCTCCCTGGGTTTGCTGGCACAGGAGACTCTTAACCACATAGGGAGATACAGAGTTAATAACAGAGTAAGCACAGAAGACAAATGTCCAGGTTTAATTTATGTCACCAAATACAGAAGACTCCAGTGAAAAAGACTTAAACAAAATCCCTGAGGATCAGTTCATTTTCTCATCGCCATCCATATTTTGCCAGCAACACACAAGTGCTCCTTTCCTTTTCCAGGAAAAAAAAATACTTCGAGAACGACAGAGAAAATCCAAGTCTGCTCCCCTGAGAGACCATTTTTGAGTCATCATATTTCCCCTCCTCTCTGAACACAGGGAAGGACAAGGATGAAACCTGAGAATAAACAGCAGGCCACGTCATCCAGATGCAGTACAAAGGCTTATTCAAACACACAAAGACCTACACTATAAGAGTGTACTGGGTCTGGCTGAAATGGAGTTAGTTTTCCCCATAGCAGCCCTCATAGTGCTGTGCTTTGTATTGGTAGCTAGGAAGGCATTGATAACACACTAGTGTTTTGGCTACTGCTGAGCAGTGCTCGCACAGCATCAAGGCTGTCTCTCCAGCATTTCCCCCTCACCAGGAGCCTGGGGGTGGGCATGATACTGAGAGAGGACACAGCCAAGACAGCTGACCCAAACTGACCACCATATGACATACTATATGACATCTGCTCAGCAATAAAAGCTAAAAGAAAGGAGGAGTGGGGAGGGACATTCATTATTACAACATTTGTCTTCTGGAGCAACCACTACACGTACTGAAGCCCTGCTTCCTGGGAAGTGGCTGGACATCGCCCGCTGATAGGAAGGAGAGAATAAATCTTTTGTTTTTCTTTGCTTCTGCAGGTGGCCTTTGCTTTTGCTTTATTAAACTGCCTTTATCTTGATCCATGAGTTTTTTCCATCTTATTTTCTCTGTGCTGCCTCCCAACCCTGCCCTGCTCAGGAGGTGAGTGATAGAGCAGCTTAGTGGGCACCTGGCATCCAGACACGGTCAACCCACCACAAAGAGAGAAACTATACAATTTGAAGGATGCTGATCTTCCAAAGATTGGGATTTGTCTGGATTTTATGCAGATCAATCTTACAGCCACAGTAACAAAGAGATGATTCACCCACGATTCTCTAAGGATATTTCCCTCACTAGCCAACTATAAGAAGAAACTGACGATCTTCTTTACAAGCAGTAAATGAAGTAGAGCACAGCTGCAGCTAGGATACGGCTGATCAAGAGAAGCCAGACACAATAATCATCAATGCAGTACAAGGATGACATGATGGTTGGTTTAGGCAAAAAGAAGTGAGCTATTCTCCCTTCCAAATGGAGAAGGCAATGCACGATCTACATACACCCCTGTGTATGCCACAGGAATGTTTACACGGAAACAACCCGCTGAACATGACATGGGGCACTTTCAGATGAATCCCTTCAACATGCCAACAAGTGGTGAAACATCTCACACTCTCTCCATGCCAAGAGCACCAAAACAGACACCACAAACCCTATGCTGATTTCTAACTTGTCCTGACCCGGTTCAGCTCACAAAGCTTCCGAGGAAAGTTCACACCTCTTGCAAAAGTCTCCCAGCCTTGGAAACTACTTAAACTTGCTTCAACAGAGTTGGCAACTGAAGGGACAAAACTTTAAAAACACATGACCCTTTTAAAGCTCGGGAGCCACAGAAAATTGTTGCAATACAGCAAGGCTGTTACCTCACTGCAAGGCTTCCCCCAGCAGCCGGTGCCCTGCGTGAATGTCTGTCTCCCTGCAGAAAAAAAATACACGCAATGCAGCAGGGTGCTCAGGGGAGGCTCCACTGATATCCCGTTTCACAT